TGTCATATTATAAGGAGTTTTCTTCTTTACATTAAAATTTGATGAAGTTTCGAGATCGAGAGCTATGCAAACAAATTTATTTTGATAATTATCGTTTGAGATAAAGACTGAAACAGCAATATTACTTTTAAAGTTTTGCAAAATTTCAAGTCAATAATGGTTACATGCATATACGATATGATGCAAATACGGTATGTTGTAAATATAGTATAATGTAAATATAGTATGCTGAAAATACCGTATGTTACTTATATGGTTTACGTTAATCCAACATATGAAGTGCATATACGGTATGAATGAATTTGATTTTTTTTGAAATTGTTGTTTTCTTTTAGTATTAAATTATAAGAAAAAAAATTAATTCTTTATATCTTCCACTAAAAACAAGTTAAACAAATTTATGGCTCAAGTACAGTTAATCTAGGACGTTTCAATCCATGCGGGCTGGGTCGTTACAATACAGGATTACTACCATCCTTCAAGAGTATGGTTGATTCTTCGTTTAATGGATCACTGTCAACAAAAACCATTGACAAAACATTGAAACTATTTGCAACAGTGGCTACTACTTCATTCGTGTAGGCATCAGAATGAGCCGTTCAAGAAAAGGTGCTAGGTGTGTTTGAAATGGATGCTTTTTCAGCCCTATCTACAAAAATAGATTCTTTATTCCATAAGGTGAAAAGCATATTAGAGTCAACGAATGCAATACATGCACGGAAACCAAGTTGTAAAGAATGTCGAGCGAATCACAGTATAGCAGAATGCCCAATTCTGTCACGGGAAACGGAACAAGTAGAGTATGCGCAATGGGGACAACGTTAACGAAACTATCTGACTTCAGACACTTATAATCTTGATTGGAGAGAACATCCAAATCTCTCGTGGGGTGGTAATTAAAATCAAAATCAGAATAGACCTCAGGGATAATTTCAATAGGAGAAGACATTTCCATTGGAAGAGATGTTTGCGAAATTCATGAAAAGAACTGATAAACTACTATCCAAAATTAGGGTGTTGCAATTAAGTACCTGGAGATGCAGATGGGACAGATGGCACTTTCTATGACAAGAAGGGCACTAGATACTTTGCCAAGCAATACTAAAGTGAATCCCAAAGAGTATTTTCAAGCAATTACTAAAAGAAGTGGGGTTCAATTACCAGAAAATAAAGTGAAGATATCAAATGCAGACAAGGAAACAGTACCTCCTGCTAATGAGGAGTAGACTGAAAGACTAGAGAAACAACTACCAAAGAAAATTCGAATAAAACACAGGCTAAAGCAACTGCTCCTGTCAATCCATACGAACCCCCAATTCCATTCCCTTGGAGATTGACGAAGTATAAGATGGATTAACAATATATGAAATTTTTGGAGATCTTCAAGAAACATCACATAAACATTCCGTTGGCTGAAGCAATTACCCAGATACCCAAATATGCCAAATTCTTGAAGGACGTCCTATCCAACAAACGTAAGCTGTAGGAGTAAGAAATGGTGATATTGACAGAGGAATGCAGCGCTAGAATTCAGAAAACGTTACCTCCAAAGTTAAAAGATCCAGGGAGTTTTACTGTACCCTGCACTATATGGAATTGCTACTTTAATAAAGTTTTACGTGATTTAGATGCAAGTATTAACTTGGTGCCACTCTCTATTTTCAAGAAGCTAGGATTGGGAGAACATAAGGCAACTACGGTAACTCTACAGCTGGATGATCAGTCACTCGCTCATCCACGAAGAATCATTGAAGATGTTTTGTTAAAGGTGAATAAACTTATATTTCCAGCGGTTTCCTAATTCTAGATATGGAAGAAGACAAGGACATGATGCTCATATTGAGTCGACCATTTTTGTCTACTACAAAAGCTCTTATAGATGTGCAGCGAGGTCAATTAATTCTGAGGATGGGGAGAAGCAGGTTTCTTCCAGTGTTTTCAAAGCAATGAAATATCCTACCGAGTAAGACAGTTGTTTCTGGATTGAGGTGGTTGATAGCATAATTCACGACTTTTAAGTTGCAGAACCCGTCAAACGTTTATGAGCCCTGTATTATGCATTCTCAATCCACTCTCACTGATTCGAAGGAGATTGAGGTATTCCGCATTGAGTTCCAAACAGATGATGAGGTGAAGTGACACTACTTGGAAGAAATAGGGTTGAAATTTGGCAGATGGCTGCAATATGGAACGAGGTCATATTGAGCCAACCAAGTAGGACTCCAAAGCCATATTCAAAGTGCCATGACACCCATGTGCCAAAAATCAAGCTCTTAATTGGAGGTAACCCATTTCTCTATCTCTTTTCACTTATTTTGATTAAGTATTGCATTATAAATAAAATTTTAAGGATTGCATTAGCATTTATGACCATATTTAGGAACTCATGCATGTAGATGAGTTTTAACATATTTTAGGTAGTATTTTTAAGATTTACATTAGTAACCTAGGCATTTTTATACATTGAGTTCCATTTACTTAGCCTCATTGTTAACATCCTAACATCTGTTGAGCTTACATTGATGTGATATGCGTTCTTGAGGTTGCACTTAGATTTTAATCTCCAAACAAATTAGAAAAACTTATCTTCTCCTGGTCATAGGATTTTGTGAGGACGTATGCTCTGTTAGATAGTTTTTCTAAAAGTTTGAAGATTAGAATTTTTTTTATTTTATTATTATTATTTTTTGTGAATTCATTGCAAATATTTAAACCTTATATGCTATCACTAATATTTATTTTATACTCTTGGAACAGCAAATTAAAGTCTGGCAACAAGAAAAAGTGGCGGTTATTATGATATCTACCAGTCAGGTCCGCTTGATCCTTTTATCTATTAACATCTACCCAACGAATTTCTAATCCTTACTCCTTTACTTTGATTATTTTTGCTCTTACATTGGAAATCATATAATATTTTAGTTTGGAGTGGATAGGTATTACGATACTTAAAATACATATTTATTTTTCTACTGCTAATCGGGTCTATATAACTGCAAAAATAAAAAAAAATCAAAAACAAAAAAATAGTGTCTAGTTAGCGCTGATGACTTGCCGCCTACGATGATGTTTATTTGTTTGAATGGAACATATATTTAGTTAGATGCTGGACAACATCATAAGTTATGCTTTTACTTGAAAACTTAATTATGTTAAATTTGATTATTTGAGCATATAGTCATATTGACTTATCACTTATGTTGGGACATGGCTATGTTGGGACATGGCTCAATTAAGTAGAATTAATTGTTGATGTTGTCGACCAAGGTTTGAATATAAATTTTCCAAGTCCTTCATATAGAAATCAAATTGCTATAAATCAGTTTGGGGATGAGAATGTTAGTTCTTGTTTTCATAGAAGTGTGATGGTTTGGAGTTTTTAAATCATAGCGTTAGTTGAAAGAATTTGAGTTAAGGAGTCTAAAATGAGCACCGATCGTTTAAATGAAAAAAAAAAATTCAAATGTCATAGCATCTTTTGATTGTGCTTATAAAAATTAATTTTGATACACATGACAGATGATTATGCTTATAAAGCCCTTGTTTGAGACACATTATATTTTTAAGAAAATATTTTTAAATAGTGTATTGATGGAAAATGTGTGATTAAAAAATAAAGAAAATTTTTGAAGTTGCGTGTAATATTATTTATTAAAGAATGTGTGGTTGAAATGATATCAAATCATTGTTTCAGAATATATTTTTTTTGATAAAAATGTGGCTCAAAACATAGCCAAAAATTATTACTTTTTAATTAATTTACTTTGATTTTGATATAATCGTGCTGATAACGTTTTATAAACTAAAAATAAAAGAGAAAAAAATAGAATTTGGGAGTGATTTTGAGAATTAAGTTTTTTATCGATAGGAGAAAAATGGGATCCATTTGTGAGAGAAAAAATCAAATATGACGGCTGAAATAGTGAAATAAAAGTAAAAAAATCAATTTTTTGGGACAAAAAATCTCTCCCAAACAAGCTGATATTTTCTTAAGAATCGTATTTTCATATTTATATGAAAGAATTAGAGTTACATGGAATAGAAGAATTATAATGACTAGGCCCTTGTTTGAGGCCCATTCTTTTGTAAAAATACATTTTTAATAGTGTTTTGATATTATTTTAACCACACATTTTTCAATAAAATAATATTACACGTAATCTAAAATTTTTTCTTATTTTTTAATTATACATTTTTCATCAATACACTATTCAAAAATTCATTCTTTCCAAAAAAATTGGGCTCAAACAAGGGCTAGGACTGTATGAATATGAGAATTATTTATAAATACTACTATATTTAAAATATTATTAATTTAAATTTAAATTTAAATTTTTATCAAACAGGTTATATCCCAACCCAAATATTTCCCTTTATTTATTTTATAAAAAAAAGTTACTTGCGTGCTGCCCAATCCTCTACAGTTCCCAGAAAGTCCAAATTCTTTGAAGTCGGCAAAAAAAATAAAATAAAAAAAGACCTTACTTCAGATTCCTCTCAAGTCCTCTGCTTCTTCGCTACGTCTCTACTGCCTGCTACCGTACCCTCTCTCACGTCATACATCTGACATCTCTGCATGATTCGTTAAAATTATAATTTATTTTTCTTCTTTTTATCAATCAAATCTCTCTTATAAAATAATATTAAACATAATCTTAAAACTTTTTCTACCTTTTTAACTATTAAAATAAAATTTCAAATAATGGGCCATATTTGCTGTTCATTGATGTGTCCATTATTAATTTTTTATTACCTGTTCAACATCTGTGCAAAGGAATCTGTTCGAATAGCATTATTCTTCTTATATATAACCCACTGAAACATCTCTTCGTAACCATTAATTTTTATTATATTATATTATATTTTTCTTTCTCTTATTTTCAATCATATAATTTTTTATAAAATATTATTATATCTAAATCGAATTTTTTTTCTCAACCACTCATTTTTCAGAAAAATACTATTCCACCTATTTTCAACTCTATAAAATGGGAGCCAAAGGGGGCTAACCCATAGCTTCGAATTTCAATTTCTCTGCCATTCTCAAAGGCAAACAAGAATCTTTCAATAAATCAATCCAAAATATTTTGTTTGTGAAATATGCAGTCATTTGGTGAAGTGCAATCAATGGCTTCCAATATATTTTCAGCCTACGCATCTGTTGCAGCATCAATGATGCTGTTCCGATCCATGGCACATGATGTTATCCCCGAGCCTTTAAAATCGTACATTATTTCTGCTTTCACTCGGATTTTCAGCTATTTTTTCGCTCCGTTATCGACCCAAATCACGATGGTGGTGGACGAGAACAGGGGCATGACGCGCAACCAAATCTACGAATCTGCGGAGATTTATCTACACACGAAAATCAACCCAAATACTAAGAGATTCAAGGTAAGCAAGAATCCCAAGAAGAAAAGTATCAGTTTAAGTATGGAGAAGGATGAAGTTGTAACTGATACTTATAACAACATTGAGCTCACATGGCAGTTTGTTTTGGAAGTGCCGGAAAATTCAAAAAATCGTTTCCAGTCGGAAAAAAGGTACTTCGAACTCAGTTTTGATAAGCAGCATAGAGAAACCGTATTGAAGGAGTATTTGCCTTTTGTTATGCAAAAGGCCAAAGAACTTAGGGAAAAAGACAGGAATGTGAAATTGTACACAAGGGATTGTCCATATTCTGACTCCGATGATGATGATGATGGGAGAAATGTAAGTGGGGTTTGGGGCTGTGTGAATTTGGATCATCCTGTGACTTTTGAGAAATTGGCAATGAACCCACAATTGAAAGAACAAATTATTGACGATTTGGACAGATTTGTGAGGAGAAAAGAGTATTATAAGAAAGTAGGAAAGGCTTGGAAAAGAGGGTATCTTCTTTATGGGCCTCCCGGGACTGGAAAATCGAGCTTGATTGCAGCGATGGCGAATTACTTGAAGTTCGATATCTATGATTTGGAGCTTACAAGTTTATATTCAAATGCTGAATTGAAAAGGACTTTGCTTTCGACTGCCAATCGATCGATTATTGTGATTGAAGATATTGATTGCAACGCTCCCATGCTCAACCGGGATGTTGAGCCTGAACCTTCTGATGATAAGGTTAGTGGACCTTTACAAGTTTTATTCATGGCAGAATTTGATTAATTCCTTTGCCTATATTATTTCTCTGCTTGCTATTGGTGGTGTTCGCTGCCTGGAATTGGATTGGTCCCCTGTTAAAATTCATATTTTTAAATTTAAAAAATAAAATAATAAAAACATAAACATAAATCCATATGTTTTGGATTGAACTCAAAACATACTCAATCCAAATGATGCTCAGGCCTACTTAGAAATTAGATTTAAAAGGAAGTTTATAAATTTTGATGTTCATGTTCTATGCAGTTAACTCTTTCGGGTTTGCTCAACTTCATGGATGGACTATGGTCTAATTGTGGAGACGAACGCATCATAATTTTCACAACGAACCACAAGGAGAAGATCGATCCTGCCTTGTTACGTCCCGGTCGAATGGACATGCACATTCACATGTCTTACTGTACGCCTGCTGGATTCGACGTCCTGGCATTGAATTATTTGGCAAACCATGATCATCCGAGGCTTTTTCCCGAGATAAAGGACCTAATCCAGGAAGTACAAGTCACTCCAGCAGAAATTGCAGAACACTTGATGAGAAATGAGAATGCTGAACCAGCACTTGAAGGTGTGGTTGATTTGCTTAAGAGAAAAAAGGCTGAGGCTAATGAAGAGAACATTAATAAGAAGGCAAAGGCTGGAATTGAAGTTAAAGGAGAAGCAAAAAAGGAGGCGAAAATGGAGAAAATTGTTAAATCTTTAAAAAGCTTTAGGAAAAATTCGAGAAGAGGAAAGAGCAAAAGAATGTGATGATGAGAAAAATGATATTATCTAGTACTAATGATGCACCGCACTTGATATGTTCAATTAAACAAAGTACATGGTATTGTATTTAAATGAATTTATTATTAATGTTATATAGTTGTCGTACAAATTAATTCTTGCTATTGGTGGTATTGTTCGTAGTAAAAATTATCGATAATCGTCTTAGGTATTATATATGTAATGATTAGTGATTTAATGCATACTAAGGAAGGCAATTATTGATCGTTTTTATTATTCACTATTACTCTGAAACTTTATCAATTAATATATTTACTAATATAACACGCCGCCTTACTTGACTTTGGGAATGTGCGATTTGCTTTTATATCAATGATAGAGCACAAGATACTTTTTAGTTTCAAGTCGTTCATCGTTGTAGTTTTATGACTCCTCAAATGCATTGAACTTGACTTGGAAATTGATCCATGGCTTTATGTGTTATCATAACATGTCAAGAACAATTATTTAAAATTTTTATTTTCAAACTCTTTTTCAATTCTGCATTTTCACGATAAAATATTTTTTTAAGTAAATTTTTTTTTTTTTTTTTTTTACTTTTAACCTTCCATTCTTAAAAATTAAATTATTTCAAAATTCATTTTCACTTATAATGACAGACAAATAGGAGCTAAATCACAGTTAGCTCAAACTTCAAATGGAATATTTGGTTGGTGTAAAAAAGGCTCTTTCTTTAGATTAAAATAATCTCGAACGCCAAATGATATATTTGACCGGTGTCAGAAAGAATTTTTCTTTAGCCTAAACACGAATAAAAAATTCACGATGAAAGTGAAACCACTTAATTATGCTTTTTTCTTTTTTATTTGTGGAAAAAAGAAAAAGTTTATCTAACAGTAGTCTACTTAAAAGTTAAAACGGAGAAAAAAAAATTCAAGATTATTAAAAATTAAAAAGGAAAAAGTTTATCTAACAGTAGTCAACTTTTCCGCATCTTAATTGGGACTATAATTTCATGATTATTAAAAATTAAAAAAAAATTCTAATTTTTAATTAAGTCAAACTTGGGCTAAATCTTCATTTCAACAGAAAATTTAGAAGTTTTTCATGATTATTAAAAAATTATTAACACTAGAATTTATGGATGATTATTAAAAAAGTTTTTCATTATAATAATTTCATGATTATTAAAAATTAGAAAAAGCATTTTTTTTCCTCATCGATGGAGAATTTATGGATGAAGCTCAAATTCTTCAAACAAGTCGGCACTAGAATTCCTTATTAAGAGCATGTTTGGCTACTTTTAAAACTTCCCTATTAGGTAAAATTACCTTTAAGAAATTGTGAGATGAATTATTAATTAATATATATGTCAATGTTTGGTCCTAATTTTCTAAAACTCATTTATGAACCCACATTTCATTGGATCCAAAAAATTTATCAATTCTCATTAAAATTTACTAAAAATATTTTTTTTAACTAAACAAAATCGGAATTATATTTGGAGCTAAAGAGTTTAAAATAAAAATAAAAATAAATAACGTCTTTAGGTTTTAGCCAAACATGGCATAAATGAAAAACAAAAAAGGCTGCAGCTTGAAAATGAAAATGCTGCAGTCCTGAGGCCCTTGACATTTGTTATTTTTTATGGTATTTTTCTTTCATTTCTTTAAGCCACATCAGCAATTTTAAAATTCTGTTTTCTACCTTGTCCCTTACCCTGGTGAGTAGCATTATTGTTGATGAAAATTGAGAATGCCAAACTACCACTTGAAGGTGCGATGATTTGCTCAAGAGAACCTTTAGGAAAAAATCTAATTAAGAGAAAAGTCCGGTGGAAGAGACAAATATTGGAATTGAAGTTCAAGGATAAGCAAAAAAGGAGGTGAAAATTGAGAAAATTGTCAAATCTTTAAAAACCTTTAGGAAAAAATCTAGCAGACGAAAGAGGAAAAGACTGATTGTGAGAAAAGATTTACTAATAGAACACGAAACCTTACTTGACTCTAGTGATGTGCTTTGCTTTTCTAAATATACTGTTTTTGTACTATTATATTAATAATAGAGTGCAAGATGCTTTTTGGCTTCAACTTGTTCATTGTAGTTTTGGAAAATGTAAAACGAAGTTAATGTTTGACACAAAGAATAACACCATACTTACAATCGAGACATAAGTCTCACCGAATAAAATAATATTGACCTTTCCATATGTGTGTTATGTTAATCGTTGTGTCAATCCCTATATTCGTATAACACGGCCCTTGTAGTTTTATATGTCTCCTAACTTGACTTGGAAATGGATCCATGGCTATATGTGTTATTGTAACATATCAATTACCTATTTTCTTACCATTATTTTAAATATTTATTTTCAAACTCGTTTTCAATGATATATTATCGCAATAAAGTATTTTGTAAGTAAATTCAAAATTTATTCCTTTTTTTAACCGCACCTTTTTAAAAAATGCATTACTTAAAAATCATTTTCACTTTTAATGGTGGACAAATAGGGGCTAAATCACGCTTAGCTCAAACTTCAAATGGCATATTTGGTTGGTGTAATTTAGATTACAATAATCATGAACTCCCAATGATATATTTAATCGATGTCAGAAAAGAATTTTTCTTTAGCCAAACACGAATGAAAAAATTCACAATGAAAGTGAAACCAACGAGTTATGCTTTATTCTTTTTATTGTGTGAAAAAAAAAATTATCTAACAGTTGTCAAAAAATAAAAATAAAAATGAGGTAGAGTTTAGGATTTGAAATTAAGATTAAGCTCATTTTGCCTCAGCTAAAAAAGTTTATTAAAATCATAATTAATTTTAACAATATATTTCATGGAATTCAAAACTTTTCAATTACGCATTTTATTAATTTTTATCAAAATCTAATAAAAAATTAATTTTTACCTGAACTGATAGGTGCTGAAAGGAAAAAGATTGCAAGAAATTCTATTTTTAATTTGCAAAACATAGCACGTTATGCTCTTTAGAACCCTGAAACAAAATGTCTATATATATCATAATAGAAATCAAAAGGGAATAAAACACTTGATGAGAAATGAAAATGTTGAACTAGCACTTGAAGGTGTGGTCGATTTGCTTACGAGGAAAAAATAAATAAAAAATAAAAACTGAAGCTAATTAAGAGAAAAGCCATGTAGAAGAGACAAATGCTGGAATTGAAGTTCAAGGAGAAGCAAAAAAAAAGGAGGCGAAGATTGTCAAATCTTCAAAAAGCCTTAGGAAAAAATCTAGAAGAGGAAAGTGCAAAGGACAGTGATTGTGAGAGAAGGTTTACTAATAGAACACTGCACCTTTAATGATGACAAGAATCTTTTCAAGTAATATATTTACAAAGAGAACACGACATTTTACTTGACGCTAGTGATGTGCTTTGCTTTTCTAATTTTATTATTATTGTACTTTTATATTAATATGTGATGACTTATTTTTCGATCATAAATTTCATAAATCACAACTTATATAATGTCAAATCTTTTTGAATCTATGATTCCTTATCAGTGCACAATGACCTATGACATCTAATCTTTGGGGGAGCTCTTGTTGCTTAATTGCTCAACTTGTAGGATATGTCACGACATCAAATATTTTGACATTAGATTTTAGTCCAATATAAATACTATAGATAGATTGTGCCCAACCTAAAGAAACGTGAGTCGATACACATTTATTTTATAGAGAAGTAGGCTGATGAATCTAATGCTTAGAATCTATTATCCAAAATTGTGTTTTCACCATGTTTTCCATATAAAATTTCAACATATTTCAATCAAACTTATAAAATATGAATTTATAACTCGAAGACTCATAGATGCCCATTCTTTAGGGTACAAAATGCAGTTATAAACTTCATAATATTTTAAAATAAAAGTTAACTAATTTATAGGTACATTGCAAAATACCGAAATTCCTTTCATTTACAACATCAAAATCTCGAAAGACGAAAACTAATGTCCGATACAATCACGATACAAAGAGCATGTGTAGTTTATGAATAAATACTCCATAAGATTAGCCCCCGTTTGATGCCCATTACCTGAAAATGAAAATGGGGGGAATAGTATTTTTTTGAAAAATGAGTAGTTAAAAAAGAAGGAAAAATTTTCGATTTACGTGTAATATTATTTTATGAAAGATTATGTGGTTGAAAATAGGAGAGAGAAAAATGGAATGTAATGTAATTTAATTTAATGGGGATCAAACAGGGGCTAGATGACATAATAAATAAAATTGTAGAATATATTCTTTAATATTTTATTATTATTATTATTATTATTATTATTATTATTATTATTATTTAACCTTTTGTGAAATTTTTGGCGTAAAAATTTAAGCAAGAACATAAAAGCTCAATTCCTAATCTAATTTCACCTAGAAGCTTGTGTTTTGAGCCCCTTTATTTATTTATCCCAAAAATCTTAATTTTCAATCAAACTTCTTGAGACATTGAAGAGTGCATTTCCACCCTTTAATTAGATGCTTTAATAGAATTTTTGACAAAACTACAAACATTTTTTCCTCGAATAATGTTATTTATCATTATAATTATAAAATGACAGTGATGTGACGATTTACATGAAATATGTAATTGGCATTACGATACTACTATTTACAATATTATTAATTTTAATTTTAATTAAAATCTTTCCATCAAATCGGTTATATCCCAACCCAGTTTTTTTTCCTTTATTTATATTTTATGAAAAAAGTTGCGTGCCTGCTGCTCAATCCTCTACAGTCCCCCAGAAAGTTGAAATTCTTTGAAACCGACAAAAAAGAAAATAATAAAAAAAGACCTTGCATGTCAGAGTCCTCTCAAGTCTTCTGCTTCTTTGCTACGTTTTCTACTGCCGACCCTATCATACCCTCAACTCAACTCACATTAGCCCATTCACTGGAAAACCTTACTTGTAGGCAATTTTTTTACATTACAATATTCATACACTCACATGGAATGAATGTAAACGTTTTGCATTTTCTTAATGATCCACTATTTCCATCATTTATTAGATATTAAACACCATTCATAATCGTCTATTTTTTCTAATCGTTCATATTTCATAACTCCTTTTATGGAAAAGAGTTTATAAAGGGAAGTAGCAGTATTGGTCCCCAAATCGAGACTTTCACGAAATTGAACCATCACATAGAGGTCTTGAAAACTTGGAAACACCAAACATAATATGAAAATTTTGGTATTTTGAAGATCAATGG